GGGGCCGGCGCGCTGGGCACGGCCGGGCGGCGCCGCGCTGGCCTTCCTGGGAGGTGAGCGGGGCGGCGGGCGCGGGCACGGCGCGGGCGGCAGCGGGCACCCACCGCGCTGTCCCCGCAGGGTTCGCGCTGTTCCCGCGGGACGACCAGGAGGACGGCGAGGATGCCATCGTCCTGCTGCTGAAGAGAGCCAAGGTGAGGCGTTGCGGGAGCCGCGGTCCCGGTGCTGCCCGGTCCCGGTGCTGCCCGGTCCCGGCGCTCACCGGTGCCGCTGCCCCGCAGCTCAGCGCCATGAAGGGGGAGCTGGCCGAGGCCGAGCAGCTCCTGCACCAGGCCCTGCGGCGGGCGCACCAGCAGGAGAACAGGCAGGCCATCATCTACACCTACAGCATGGTGAGAGCCCTGGGCACGGCGGGGCCCCGGCAGGAGGAGCAGCGGCTGAGGCTCCTCTGCCTCGGTGGAGCTTGAGGAGGCATCCCGAGACGTTTGGAATTTTCTGTCTGTCTCTTGCAGATGGGGAACGTGGCGTACATGCAGGGGCAGCTGGACAATGTGAGTAACTCTGGGTTTTCCCAGTGAATTGTTAGAGGTTGGCATCTTGTGCGTGGTCTCAAAGGTGTGGGGTGCTGGCACCAGCTGCAGAGCCAGAGCTGTGGGGCACAGATGTCCCAGTGCAAAAAGGAATGATCCAACTCAGGACTGCAGTCCCATGAGCACACCAGGTTAAGAAAGGTGCTCTCACAGGTGAATTTTGAGCTCCAACATGGTGTGCAGGGGAAGGAATACTTCTTTCTGTGAAATGCTGCAGCTGAGCACAGAGGTGGCTCCTCCAAGGAGAATCTGGGAAGCCCTGAGCTCACAGACAGGGTGAAGGCCTGGCTGCTGCAGCAGTGCTCAAGGAGAAACTGAAAGGAGCTGCTGGTTCAGTACCACTGGGCTCTGGTCAGCCTTTCACTTCCAGCTGCTCTTGGTGCAGTGTAAATGCAACAAATTTGAGCCAGGTCCCTCTGCGTAGTTTGCCTCTGTTTTGTTTAAATGCCATCATTTCTCAGTATCCTCTTCAAAATTCTTGTTTCAGGCAGAAAAGCTCTACAAAGCAACGATGAGCTATATGCTTGCAGGGGACACAAAGGAGGTATGTTCTGAGACAGGCTCCCAGTGCTGCCCTTCTCTTCACCTTATTTCTTGTGCTGTAATGCCTCTTACTGGAAATTGGCAATACTGTAATGGATGGCAGCACTGGAGGCAACAAGATGGGGATTTTTAAGGTCTAAACTCTGTGACAAAGTAATGTTTCTGCTGGGGAGGTACAAGAAGAGTAACAGTTGCGTTGTGTCCTCCTGGCAGGATGACAACGCTGTCCTTGAGGTGTCCCTCAAGCTGGCCAGTATCTATGCTGCTCAGAAACAGTGAGTTCCCAGCTGGAGGTGGCACCTGCTTTCACCTCAGCTTTGCAGAGCTGGTGGGGTGGCCAAGCAGAGGATCTTTAATGAGGGATCCTTCAGGAACAGAAGGAGCTTTGCTTTGCACTTTGCAGGCACAAATTAGCTGTAGCTGGCTACCAGTTCTGCATCCTGACCTTGGAGGAGAAGATTGCCAAGCAGAAGGACTTGCCTGAGGATGTCTTATCAGGTGGGCAGCCTTGTCTGCCAAAGGCTCCTCTCTTTTCTCCATTTCCCTGTCCTTGATGTTGTTTCTGCATTCCTAAGCACTATCTTCTTTCAATCCATTCTCTTCCCACTGCCTGAGTTTCTGCTGTGGTAGGATGGGGGTTCATGCTGGATGCTGTGGCAGTGATCACTTCACTCCTCTCTGTTTGCAGCTGAAGAAAAGGCCAACACCCAGCTCCTGCTTGGGATGAGCCTGGACTCCTACGGCCGCTACCTGCTGAACATCAACGAGCTGCCAGCAGCACAAAAAATGTATGAGAAGGCTCTGCAGATATCAAATGATGTTCAGGGAGAGACTCATCCACAGGTGATTTGTACAGCAGTAGCACTCCAGGGAAGCAAAGGCTGATGTGGAGGGAATGAGGCAGCCTTGGAGCAGCTCTGCTGCCATCAGACATCAGCACTACCAGGCTGTTTTCCTGCCAGGAAGGACGAGCATACAAATACAGAAATACAGGACACTTCCTTACTGAACACTTCTCTGGGAAATACTGCATTAACTGGTGTGGCAGGGAATGAATGTGGTGCTTCTGCTGCCCCGGAGTGCTCCACCAGCTCCCCTTTTCCCTCCTGGTGCAGAGTGTGGTGCTGATGAATGACCTGGCGACGGTGCTGGACGCCCAGGGACGCTACGAGGAGGCGCACGCCTACAGCAGGAGGGCAGCAGAGCTGGCAAGGGACACCCAGCACCCCGAGGAGCACATGGTGCTCAACAACCTGGCAGCAATCCTGATGCACAAAGGTCAGTGAATAAATACCCAGCCTGTCACTGAGCTGGTGCTGGCTGCAGAGATCTGGATCTGTGTTGCAGGGCTGAACTACAGTGCTGGTTTAATTAGTTTTAGTTTAGGCAGTTGGTCTGACTTTGAATTGCTTTCACAAACTGTCCCAAAATGTTTCCAGGGGGATCTTGTTCCCCATGTCCCTTGTGTCCAGTAACTTTTCCAAAAGGACAGAAGACGTGCATGAGATTTGAGATTTGTTTCTGTGAGATTTTAATGCTGAAGCAGCACCAGGTCCCATCATCACTGCTGCTCTCAGAGTTGGCAACCTGGCAGGATGTTTTCTGAGCCTCCCTAGATCTTGATGTGCTCCAAGCAGTCCTTGTCCTTTGCACGTGATCAGCATCAGGAGCGGGCTCTGAAAATGGGTGATGGAACTGGGTAGCCAAGCTTTTTTTCCTTCTTGCTACAGAAGATTTCCTGCAAGCAAAACAAGTGTACAAAGAAGCTCTCAAGCAGGCACAGCAGAAGGGAGATGCTGCTTCTGTCCAGCATATCCAGGAGGAACTAGCTGAGCTGGCCAAGAGGAGAAAGGGCTCCAAATAAGTTTGGCCACAAAGTCCAGCCTTGAGGTGGCTGAAGGCAGCAAGGGCTGCTCAGCACAGGCAGCCTGGGAGCAGCTCGGTGCAATTCTCCAGAGAAACAGCAATGAGGAGTTTCAGGACTGCTTAAGAGGAAGGGCTGCCACTGCCTAACAGCCCAAAATAAAGGTGTGAAATCTTAACTGTGTGAATTTGTGGTGTAGTCTGTGGTTTGACTGACCTGCTGTGCTAAGTGATTTAATTTTGGCTGCCTAAGTGCAAGCCTGGTCTGGTATTAATACTGTGTTAGAGACAGTTTGCTACTCCTGCCTGCCCACAGAAGTGTTCAGGTTCAAAACATGACTGTCCTAGAGCAAGTCTTGAAAAGGAGCAGGCAGGAATTGTCTCACTCTTTACATGTTGCAAGCACAGCAGGGGCTGTACTTCTATCAGTGCTGCAGTTCAGTGTGTTTGAACTGCAGCAGAGCACCTCCCAGGCTCTACCTGCCCTGCAACAGAGCTGCATATCCTGTAGATCAAATGTATTTCTTCATTTAGCGTCCAAAGATAGAACTTGTCCTCTCAGAGGAGGGGTGAGGCTGTTAGCACACAGAGCTGCTGTCAGAAATAAAACACTTGGCTGCAGTGGAGAGCACACGGAGTGCCAGAGTTGTCTTCTCTCTTGGACAGGTCAGTGCTTGAATGCTGAGGCTTCCTGTTGGAAAAGATGCTGTGTACAAACCCAGCTTTGTCAGCTACGTGCCTTCATGTGAATCAAGTATGAACACCTGCTTTAAACAACAGAATTTCTCAGTTCTGCCCTGCTGGGAAGCCTTATGTTAAAGAAAGAGGAGAATTAAACCAGAAATCACCAAATCCATATTTAGTAGAACTAATTCTGTCACTATCCAAGAACAATTTTAACTTCTCAGTTGTCAGAAGTGCAGCTGGTTGGTACAACCCTCAATGTAATTACATCATTATTAATTTACTTACAGTAGCAGCTTCATCTCTGAACTTTGAGCTAAGAGGAGGAGGCACACAGGTTTTCTAGAGCAGAAGTTCATTGAAGCTGGAAAACTTCAGTCACATACAGAGCTTTGTTCTCAGCAAGCTAGGAAATAGAAATGGGGCTGTACTGACAGAAAGGCTCTGGCACATCAGAGCCAACCCTCCCTCAAGTGCTGGGTTTGGGGTTTGAAGCAGCAGAGCCTGCAGGGCAGCAGTGTCACCTGGGAACCCTGCAGCACCCCGGGAGCAGGGTCTTGCCTGAGGCTGCAAAACAAAAGGGAGACACAGGAAAAGCAAGTGGAGAACTGATCCCCTTTATTGATTGGTCTGAATCCAGAAGTCACTGTCTAGTGAAGACATTGTGTGGAAATTATGATGCATGGGTTTTTCAAGTCTTAAATGATTTCATATCAGAATCACGAACCATATCAAGATGAAAGCATTGTGAAAGCGCTGATCAGAAATCAGGTAAAAATTTGTAGTAAACTACACTTTGTAAACATGACTTACAAACACCTTCCTGTTTGAAACAGGGCAGATGTAATTCCATACTTGAAGATTACTGGAATTGTGGTAAACCCTAACTTAGGCTCTGGAGAGGTTTTTACACTGGAGAAGTTAAAACTCGGATAACAAACAAAAAAAAGCAGCAACATTTTAT